AAGCCCTTATACATTCCACGCTCTTCTTAAAACATGCTTTGGTTCGAAAGTTTATCTCCACACAGCCTTAAATCCACAGCTTAAGTCCTTAAAATGACATTTTTGACTTGTGAGGGGAGGGGATTCTTGTTTAATCACATAAGGAAAGAAAGGAAAGTTTTTTTTCCCCTCCCCCATCAGTCATTTGCCATACCGAGTCTTGGCGTATCTTCTCATGATTTATTCTTGTTCCTCCGACTCGTCTTGTTTTATCAGAGATCTCTTCTGTTAGCAGTCTTTACTCCCCCTCCTTCCTTGAAATATGTGCATTCCTTCATCCAAATTGTTTCTTTTGAAGTTTTTGCAGCTAGTGGCGCGGATCAGGGATGGCGTCCAGGAGCGCCAAAATCCCACAGGAGGGCTTTGTGCCTAGTGCCCCCATCCCCACAAATTCGGGGGTGGTATAGGGCACAGCAGGCAAGGGCAGTCCCCCCCACTATCCTGGGGGGGGAGGGAGGGTAATTACTCCCATCATAGCCTCCAAATCACCTCGTGTGGGTCAGAGAGATGTTATTGTCAGCCATCTTCCGATGCGCCCCCTAGTGGCCCCCTCTAACTCTCTTTTCAGTCGGAACCAGTGAAGGCTGTGAAACATAGCTGTCAACTTTCGGATTTGAAAATAAGGGATCAGCAGCCTCACCTGTCCCAGAAACAGTCTACGGGATATCTAACAATCTGGGATATCAGCAGGAAGCAGCGGGAAACGGCGCTGAAATAAAGGAATTTCCTGCAAAGAAAGGGAAGGTTGACAGCTATGCTGTGAAAGTCCTGTGTGAGTGCCTGGAGGCGGCTGGAGGATGGATGGTGGCTAATGGATTGAGGTTGAATCCTAACAAGACAGAAGTACTGTTTTTGGGGGACAGGGGGCAGGCAGGTGTGGGGGACTCCCTGGTCCTGAATGGGGCAACTGTGCCCCTGAAGGAGCAGGTGCGCAGCCTAGGAGTCATTTTGGACTCACAGCTGTCTATAGAGGCACAGATCAATTCTGTGTCCAGGGCAGCTGTCTACCAGCTCCATCTGGTATGCATGCTGAGACCCTACCTGCCTGCGGACTGTCTTGCCAGAGTGGTGCATGCTCTAGTTATCTCCTGCTTGGACTATTGCAAAGTGCTCTACGTGGGGCTACCTTTGAAGGTGATCCGGAAACAACAACTAAGCCAGAATGCAGCAGCTAGACTGGTGATTGGGAGTGGCCGCTGAGACCTTATATCACCGGTCTTGAAAGATCTACATTGGCTCCCAGTACGTTTCCGAGCACAATTCAAAGTGTTGGCGCTGAGCTTTAAAGCCCTAAACGGCCTCGGCCCGGTATACCTGAAGGAGCGTCTCCACTCCCATCGTTCAGCCCGGACATTGAGGTCCAGCTCCGAGGGCCTTCTGGTGGTTTCCTCACTGCGAGAAGTGAGGTTACAGGTAGCCAGGCAGAGGGCCTTCCCGGTAGTGGCGCTCGCCCTGTGGAACGCCCTCCCATTAGATGTCAAGGAAATAAACAACTATCCCACTTTTAGAAGACATCTGAAGGCAGCCCTGTTTAGGGAAGTTTTTAACGTTTGAAGCTTTATTCTGTTTTTAATATTCTGTTGAAAGCCGCCCAGAGTGGCTCGGGAAACCCAGCCAGATGGGCAGGGTAGAAATAATAAATTATTATTAATTATTATTATTATTCTCTCCTCCTCTGCTTCCAAAGATGAGCACCGTGATGATGACCTTTCACCTCTCTGTTGTCTCCAAGTTAGGCAAATGGTGGCAAATGAGTGAGGGGCCTTCTGGGAAGAACAGTAAGGCCTGGCAGTGGCAGACTTTGGGCTATTAAAATTCAGCGCTGCTCTGTGCAAAGCTAACATTGGATGCCCCCTGCCTCTCACAGTTCATTTTGCAGCATTATTTCGGTGACCGCTGCAGTGTGGTGCCCAGCGTGGCCAAACCAGTAGTGCTACCCTCAAACCGCCTGGGCTTGGCATCTGTAGCATGGAGTGAGATGAGAGTCCTAGCCTCAAAAGGGTTTGGCCTCTTATGGCCCATTGTTTGGGGGAATGGCTTTCATCCAGGGCCACATCCACACCTTACATTTAAAAGCACTATGATGCCATTTAAAATAGTCATGGCTTTCCCCCAAAGAATTCTGGGAGGAATTAAAGGGACAGAACCACCTAAATTGTATAGAAATTAATTTATGTATGCTGAGAGCTGGACCATAAAGAAGGCTGATCGCCGAAGAATTGATGCTTTTGAATTATGATGCTGGAGGAGACTCTTGAGAGTCCCATGGACTGCAAGAAGTTCAAACCTCTCCATTCTTAAGGAAATCAGCCCTGAGTGCTCACTGGAAGGACAGATCCTGAAGCTGAGGCTCCAATACTTTGGCCACCTCATGAGAAGAGAAGACTCCCTGGAAAAGACCCTGATGTTGGGAAAGATGGAGGGCACAAGGAGAAGGGGACGACAGAGGACGAGATGGTTGGACAGTGTTCTCGAAGCTACCAGCATGAGTTTGACCAAACTGCGGGAGGCAGTGGAAGACAGGAGTGCCTGGCGTGCTCTGGTCCATGGGGTCACGAAGAGTCGGACACGACTAAACGACTAAACAACGGCAACATTCCTTTCACAGAATGGTTTAATAATCAATCACTCTTCACTGGGAACTCTGGGAACTGTAGATCTGTAAGGAGGATAGAGGTCTCCTTACAACTCCCAGTACCCTTTTAAAACTACAGTTCCCAAGATTCTTCAGGGGAGGCCATGAATGTTTAAAGTGGTACTGCTTTAAATATACAGAGCAGATTTAGCGGCCACCTTGCCCTTCTCCTTAAGTTGCAAAACGACTTGGGTTGGCACTGACCTAAAGGAGTGTGAGTCATAAGGGCTGTGCACAGATGGGGTTGTGATTCTTCTCCGGGTGGGGAGGGAGAAACTTTTGCTCTGCCGTCGTGTGATTGATTCCATCTCTAAGAGCAACAGCCTGCAGCTTAAGTCCATAGGCATGTTTGTTTTCTCTTAAATCAGGGAATTAATAACTTAAGCTTGTGCCAGGGAGGTATGCGGAGAAGTTGATGAAGCCACTCATGTGGAATGCGATCACCCATCACCTACTGGTGCATACTGGGCAGGCTGGGAACACAATGAGCTCTAGCAAAGAGCCCATCCTGAGGTTCAAACAGAGTTCAGTCCAAGGCTGGGCTGCTCCTCCTTCGCAGCATGGAATTTAATGAAGTTCTGCTGGCAAACTGCTATCAGAGGAAATAGTTTCAGGAATGAGAGAACTTAACCCAGGAATCGGTTTCCAGCAGGGATGGGCAGATCTGTCAGCCCCCACGTCCCACCATTTATCTCTCTCTCTCTCTTTTTAAATCCTTAACTTCATTTCTCCACATTTCCACATCAGTTTGCAAGTTTAAAAGCGCTCATGAAACTTCGTTTGCATTTTGGCTCAATCCCTGCCCCCAATTTACACATTTTTTTGCAAAGCAATTTTCCTTGATAGAATGCATTTTTTTCCTGTTATTTGCATTAATGTATATAGTGGTACTTCAGGTTAAGTACTTAATTCGTTCCGGAGGTCTGTTCTTAACCTGAAACTGTTCTTAACCTGAAGCACCACTTTAGCTAATGGGGCCTCCTGCTCTCGCCGTGCCGCCAGAGCACAATTTCTGTTCTCATCCTGAAGCAAAGTTCTTAACCTGAAGCACTATTTCTGGGTTAGCGGAGTATGTAACCTGAAGCGTATGTAACCTGAGGTACCACTGTACACAATTACACACACTTTACCTAGTATATGCCTCTCTTTGCTCACATCCCAGGGCTGGAGAACTGCGTTGCAAAATTCAGAAATGTGCAAATTTCAAAGAATGGCTGAGGTTTGGTTCATGCATTCTTTCACAAAGGGTGAATTAGCTGAGGTTGCCTAATCAGTTTTCTCTCCCATCCCTAGCTGTAAGGGCCATGAATTTAACCCACAAATGTCTGATCTGGAGAAATCTCCACCTAGCAGTCTACTAGAAAACTCGTAAGCACGATTTCCCCTGCTGTTTAGGCAAAGAACCATCTCAGCATCTCATACAGAGCATTATGCAGTCACAAATTAGGTGAAGGTAAAGGTAGCCCTGACCATTAGATCCAGTCGTGACCAACTCTGGGGTTGCGGCGCTCATCTCACTTTATTGGCCAAGGGAGCTTCCGAGTCATGTGGCCAACATGACTAAGCCGCTTCTGGCAAACCAGAGCAGCGCGCGGAAACGCCGTTTACCTTCCTGCTGGAGCGGTACCTATTTATCTACTTGCACTTTTTCATGTGCTTTCAAACTGCTAGGTTGGCAGGAGCAGGGACCGAGCAACGGGAGCTCACCCCATCGCGGGGATTTGAACCGCCGATCTTCTGATCGGCAAGTCCTAGGCTCTGTGATTTAACCCTCAGCGCCACCTGCATCCTGCAGTCACAAATAAAATAAAAAAAGCAAGCTGCAGAATTTTGTTAGATCCTCTTTTGTACTCTGACTATCATAAATCACACCCAATGCTACAATGCAACGGAACACCCAAGATCAAACATTAGAAGTTTAAAGAAGTCCCCATTCTTCTGGGCTTTGTTCCCTGACATTTACATTTCCCAAAGTTTCTTTGCTCTCCCTTGCACCCACCACCCTTCCTCTCTCCCTCCCCACCCCTGATTTCCCTGTCCCTCTGACAGGTGAGTCCAGAACTATTCAGACGTTTGAATAAGGATTTTCTTAATACATTGGAGAGATGTGGGGGTGCAGTTGGGCATTGAGAAGCAGGAAGAAGATAGAGTATAATTAATATGACTGTTTGGTCTCTAATAGTAAAATAGAAGCTTTTTTTTCTTCCTTCCTAGAGATGTAAAGGTCAAAGATGGGGAATGGGCAGGAGAAAATAGGGGAAGGAGTTCTGCTAACCTGTTCTGCAGGGTTGAAGCCACTCCCACTAATAAGAGCAGTACTGTTACAGGGAGGGGTGGTGGCTCAGTTGTAGAGCTTCCGCCTTGCAGACGAAAGGTCCCAGGTTCAATCCCCGGCATCTCCCAGTTAGGGCTGGGAGTGTTCCCTGCCTGAAACCCTGGACTAGGCAATACTAGATGGGCCAATGGGTAGCTTCCTGTATCAGGCAGCTTCCTAATACTATGTGGTTGGGTCCCATGGCATGGCCAGTGGAAGTACAATACCATAACCAAAGAAAACCAAACAAACCCTGGGCTAGAGCCTGTGATAGCCAACCTCTTGCTGACCCAGCAACCAATTAGAGATGGTTAGACCATCCACCCATCAAGAGGGACTAGCACAGCGGTTCTCATCCTAGGTCCCCAGATGTTGCTGGACTGCAACTCCTATCATCCCTGAGCTCTGGCCTTGCTAGCTAGGAATGATGGGACAACAACATCTGGGGACCCACAGGTTGAGAACCGCTGGACTAGTGGGTTGGCTGGACGGACGGAAAGACCATTTTGCATTTGTCTGCCACCATGATTGTACCTTAGGTGGTTTACAGGGGGGAGTGGGTGAACCTGTCGATTTTTTGGTTTCACTCAGTGTCTTATTTTTCCGATCTCCACATTTCCACATCACTTTGAGATATTTAAAAATGTCCTCAAGAAAATTCATCAGCATCTGAGGGCAAAATTCTCCTAAGATACCCATGCTTGTTTGCAGTTTTCTCCAATACACACATATCACAGAGCAGTTTTAATACACATTTGTTGTGTATGCTATTTTTATACGCCATTTTATGCACACTTTGTCCTAGTATATGCAATTTTGCGCATGTTCCTTGGCTGGAGAACTGCACTGCAAGATTTAGAGACCTGTGAATTTCACAGGGTGGCTGTTGTTGGGAGGTCCTTTATTCCTCTCCCTTAGCTGCAATTCCCTGAGTGTTTGAACACTCTATCCCTCTTCCCAGGGAACTCTGGGAATTGTTGCTCTGTGAGAGGAGCAGGGGTCTCCTAACAGCTCTCAGCACACTTAGTGAACTACAGCTCCCAGAATTCTTTTGGGGGAAGCCATAACTACCTGAAGTCACATGGTACTGCTTTAAATGTATGGGGCAGATGTTGCCTGAGTGTGTTTTGTGGCCATGGAAGGGAAGGCAGGATGGTAAAGTGGGTGTGAAGGGAAATTGAATGGAGTGTCATGAAGGAGGGCTAGTCTAACTGAATGGAACACTAGGAGCACCTGGCCCTGCAACATTTTGTTGCAGCTCCTGCTTGTAACACATGCTCTTTTGTCCGATAAAAACCCCTTCCCCACCCAGCTCAATAGATATTTAAAAGACTGGAGGATTAAACAAAACAAATGGCAAATATAATGTTGTTTGAAATCTATCTAGGCAGTAGACTAAGATTGTTAATATGTGTGCAGTGTATTTGGTGCCAGAAACTTCTAGGATTAGTGAAATAGTTTTGCAGATGGCGGCGCCAGAAGGAGGGAAATTGGGTAAATTTAGAAATGGGGTGGTTTGGCACAGGCATCAATGCAACATTTTATCAGAAAGGCAAGGCAGAGAAGCCCAGAACTTCCAGCTGCAGGCGGCCCTTTGGCGAGTCAGTGCAAGGAAATTTGTAGTTAACACAAAAGCTTTGGGAGACAAATGACTCCTCATTGGGCGCGGCTTTGGAGGTTGGAACGAATTCCCTTGTAATAAATGTTCCCTAAATAGACTAAGGATTCCCCATTCCAGTTGTTTTACTATTCTGCTGGAATTAAACACAATGCTATGCTGACAACTAAAGTTCACTTCTAGAGGCTGCTTCTGACCATTAAGTCCAGTCGTGGCCGACTCTGGGGTTGCAGCGCTCATCTTGCTTTATTGGCCGAGGGAGCCAGCGTACAGCTTCCGGGTCATGTGGCCAGCATGACTAAGCCACTTCTGGTGAACCAGAGCAGCGTACGGAAACACCGTTTACCTGTCCGCTGGAGCGGTACCTATTTATCTACTTGCACTTTGACGTTCTTTCGAACTGCTAGGTTGGCAGGAGCAGGGACCGAGCAACAGGAGCTCACCCTGTTGCGGGGATTCGAACCGCCGACCTTCTGATCGGCAAGACCTAGGCTCTGTGGTTTAACCCACAATGCCACCCGCGTCCCTGCTTCTCACATAGTTTTCTTTAAAAAACAATACCAAAGTAAGAGTCACTCCAAGCAATATGCTACTGATGGCTTCCTCAAAGCTGTGCCACATGGCAACATTTGAACAAGAGTGACGTACGAACGCTTTCAAGGGTTAAAATGTACAAACAGGTGGGTGACAAGGTAGAAAAATGCAACCCAAGAACCCTGGAAGAGAAGACATGTCTAAGACAAAAGTCCAAGGCAACTTTGGCTTTGCTTTGTCTTCTTTCTGTGACAGATTATTTCTGAAAATAATAATATGAAAAACAGTCTTTGACAAGAAACGCAGTTAGGCTGAATTTCTTCATACTACAATAGACGGGCTGTGTCACACTTTCCTTGAATGGTAAGAAGTGAACAGGACAGATATTGGGGTACTGCGCGGGTAAAGGGACTCCTGACCATTAGGTCCAGTCGTGACCGACTCTGGGGTTGTGGCGCTCATCTCGCTTTATTGGCCGAGGGAGCCGGCGTACAGCTTCCGGGTCATGTGGCCAGCATGACTAAGCCGCTTCTGGTGAACCAGAGCAGAGCACGGAAATGCCGCTTACCTTCCCGCTGGAGCGGTACCTATTTATCTACTTGCACTTTGACGTGCTTTCGAACTGCTAGGTTGGCAGGAGCAGGGACCAAGCAACAGGAGCTCACCCCGTCGTGGGGATTCAAACTGCCAACCTTCTGATCAGCAAGCCCTAGACTCTGTGGTTTAACCCACAGTGCCACCCGTGTTCCCAAGGCACATTTCCTTCCTGATAACCTTCTAAAGTCGACGTGTCAGTGGTGTGAGGGGACAGAGCCAAAAGTGGATGGGACGACATATGTACATTTCCCACTTTGTGCAGTAGGCTAGTTTCTCCCCACACTCACATGCTCCTCTCTGCCCTCCTTCATGACAAACTGGAGGCATTCTCTGAGTTAAAGAACACATACCAGCCTGGCAAAAAAACCACACCACTTGAGGTGCAAAGCAGGGGGTGGCCCGGGGAGAGTTCTGAGGGCCGGATAGAAAAGAATGGAGGGCCACATTCATCTCCCAGGCCTCAGTTTCCTCACCCCTGGGCTATAAACTACAGGGATGTCTCTGTATTTAATTATTCTGGCCTCATGCTGCTAAGGTGTTGATTGCTCTGCAATTATTTCTAAAAGCTCAGGAACCAGTGCTCAGAGACACGTAATGGTGTCTGGCTGCGGGGAACACCTTTTGCCTGGAATGTACTGCAAGTGGTGCGTAGCATAGCACCAGCTGTCGTCAGAAAGCAGTGCTTTCCAAGCCTCCTCGAGTCGCATCAATCTGCACGCTCAAAAGATTCCCATTGAAACCTCCTTTTATTCCAGTGGCACAGGAGGAGGCTGGGGGGGGGGGGAGAGCGGATTGCCAAAATGAAGCCATAAATACCATTGGAAAGAGAGCAAATTTGAGAGCAAGCTTCCAAGACAGATGTCCTGTTTATTTATTTGAAATGCTCCCCTGTCTTTCCTCGAAAAGACTTTAAGGAGAAGAACAATGATAAATTTGGGTTGCAAGCCCCAGGGACACTGGGGCTTAGTTCCAAGGAAAGATGCACTCAAGTGGGCTGTGAAACAGTTAAACAAGAATAATATTGCCATGTTAAGAAGATACACAAGTGGCTATTTATGGCACTGTTTATCGTGGCATAGTTCCTGGGGTTCTCCGTGGAATTCTTCACATGCCTTTGTTATTTGGCTAGCATTAAGGAATAATGTACCATAAAAGCCCAGCTTTTTCTTCTGCTAAACACAAAAAATAAAAAACCCTGACTTTTGTGAAAGATCTGGAATGGATTCTTGCTATTTTCATTCATTTGGAAGGTGCACAAGCATCCTTCAGCCCGGACACTGAGGTCCAGCTCTGAGGGCCTTGAGGCGGTTCCCTCATTGTGAGAAGTGAGGTTACAGGGAACCAGGCAGAGGGCCTTCTCGGTGGTGGTGCCCACCCTGTGGAATGCCCTTCCACCAGATGTCAAGGAAATAAACAACTACCTGACTTTCAGAAAACGTCTGAAGGCAACCCTGTATCGGGAAATTTTTAAAGTCTAATGTTTTAAATTTTTTTTAATAGTTTGGGGATTTCTGAGTGTGGTTTTTTGAAACAACTGTTGTGTGTTTCACTTTCCTCTAACTGTTACCAGCTTCCTCCAAGGTAAGTGGGGTTAAGGCCTCAGGTTCCCCGTTTCTCACTCCTTGGGCCTTCCCCCCCATCCTTGACTTTGTACAGGTGGTTCTGACAGTATTGCGGGATTGCGTTCTACAAATTGTTCACTTTGCAAGAGTGTGAGACATGGGATGTGGGAGAAATTCAGTTCTGTTCACTGTTCAAGGCTGACCTGATTTGCACTTCCAGAAACAATGCCCAGTCTGAAACACAGCCATCCTTCAAAATTTGCACTTCTTTGAATTTTGCAACGCAGTCCTCCAAACAAGGAATGTGTGCAAAAGATGGGCTACATTAACTACGAACCCCAAAATTTGGGATCCCCTCAAAACTGGTGCCAAAGCTTTGCAGTCGTTTTGCAGCGCTCCACAAATGGCGTAATTGATCAAGCAAACCCGAGTTCGTAGTTAATGGCCCCAAATGCAATATTTTTGGCAATGGTTTTGCAGTGTTTTGCAGCAAAAACACTGCATTTTGCAGCACCCCACAATTGGAGCAATAGCCACTCAAACCAGGAGGTCAAAGGGTAACCAAAAACCCAACCTTGTCCGATACACTCCAAACCGGTGCCAAACTTCGGCAGAAGTTTTGTAGAGTTTTGCACCAGCCCCTGCCTGCTTTGAACTGTGGCTGAACATGTTCTGGTGGGTGCAGTTCCTTCCTTTTGCCAGTAGTTGGCGGTGGCAGATGGGCTTAACTGCTTCCTGAGTTAGGCCATAGGTTCTTGGGGCCTTGAGGGCTTGAACCCTACAAATGCAGACTCGGTGTAGCTGTGGTTACAAAAAGACAAATGTTGCAAGGATGCAATTATCATGGTGCCTCCTTGGGCTGATAACAGAGAGCCAGAGAGGAAAATGCCCCACAGGCTGTTTCCCAAGTTCCCTGACTTCTAGCTTTGGCTGCTAATTGATTCAGAGCTGATCTATATCTGTCCCCAGCAATATGCAAAGGTGTTACTGGATTCCCTGTAGCGTGAGACAGGCGGGAAAAAACTTCTTTGGCAACCGGTGCCCCTCTGCAAGGAACTTGTTCAAACATGACTGTGTGGGACAGAATAGTTCCCTTGTTTTCAAAATTTGGCACCTAATTATGATCGCTAGTCTCAACATATCCCTTTTGGGAATTTACAGGGCACATATCTGATCTGGAGCTATGCAGGTGCTGCAGGGATCAGGCTGTCCTCCTGTCCCCCACCAGCTCTAATAATCAGAATAGTAAGTTTATTATTTATACCCCATCCATCCATCTGGGTTTCAAAGCATGCTCGCTTTTGTCCTTCTGCCTCACCACACTTTGCATGCTTAATCTATTTTCCGTTTTTAGTCAAGTAATAAAGGTAAAGGTAAAGGACCCCTAGACGGTTAAGTCCAGTCAAAGGCGACTATGGGGTTGCGGCGCTCATCTCACTTTCAGGCCGAGGGAGCCGGTGTTTGTCCACTGACACCTTTCCGGGTCATGTAGCCAGCATGACTAAACCACTTCTGGTGCAATGGGACACCATGACGGAAACCAGAGCGCATGGAAACACCGTTATCCTTCCCGTCGCAGCAGTACCTATTTATCTACTTGCACTGTTGTGCTTTCAAACTGCTAGGTTGGCAGGAGCTGGGACAGAGCAATGGGAGCTCACCCCGTCGTGGGGATTCAAACCACTGACCTTCTGATCAGCAAGCCCAAGTGGTTTAGGCCACAGCGCCACCCACGTCCCATGTAATAGCCAGGTTCAGGAGGCACAAAGTATTGGTGTATAAAGCCCTATACAGTTTGGGATCAGGATACCTACAAGATCACCTCCTCATGCCCTCCATGCCCAACTGACCACTGTGCTCTATAGTTGTCGCCACACCTCCATGGGTGTTCCCCCTTCCTTGGGTTACATCTATATCTTTTGCCCAGAGGGCAAGGGCAGACTATGTGGTTTTATACCGCATTGACTACACACCTGGGTGTGGCCTGTGTGGTGCACAGATACATCCCAACATACCCATCCTATATTACAGCCACAGCTTAGCTGGCGATTAAGAGGAAAGAAAGCATGGCAGGGAACAAAGATGCACGTCATGTCAACGACTTATGTGCTGTGTCACCAGAAACGCCTCATGATTAAGCTTGCTGGGTGACTTAGGACCAGTCACCTGGTTGTTGTGAGGGTAAAATTAAATTTAGAAAACTGATGTGCGCATGAGTTCAGGGGTGAAGTTTAAAAGGAGGCGGGGCTTAACATGAGAGGGGAGGGGCTTGGGCCAAATTGTAAAGGGAGTTTTTTTTGTCAGATGTGGGGGAAGGGCAAAGGGAGAGGTGGGGTTGGTGAGCACAGCTAGCAAGAGTGGCAGCCCCTAGGGAACAGGATGCAATTTCGGGACTGAGGCTGGAAGCATGTCTCTGCTCCTGCTGCTACACAGGAACTCCCTACATAGAAGTAAATTTATTGTCTAAGCAGCATGGGGCATAAGAGCAAGACCTAGAACAGGAGTGGGGAATCCGTTACAGCCCGAGGACCACATTCCTTTCTGGGCAGCTTTCCCAGGGCCACATGCCAGTGATGTACAGGGTCAAAGGTAAATGTGGGCAGGGTTTTACTTTTGCACAGTAGACTGGTGTCTGCACACATGGACACACCTTTCCCTATCCTCCATCCAGTCAAGCAAGAGACATGATCGTATTTCAAGGGCAAGAAATGCTCAAAGTAGCAAGCAAGTTCAGTGGGCTCAGCGAGGGGTAGGGCTTGAGAGGGATGGATTGTGGCCTTGGAGAGTTCAGAGGGCCTGGAGGCCTGGGGTTCCCCACACCTGAACTAAAAGTAGAGTGGCCATACCCTCCAACATTTCTCCGATGAAAATAGGGATGTCCTATTCCATAATAATGATAACAACAACAACATTATTATTATTATTACCGGCTTCCAACATATATAAAAACATAATAAAACATTAAAAAACTTCCCTGTACAGGGCTGCCTTTAGACGTCCTAAAGGTTGTATAGTCACTTATCTCCTTGGCTTGTGGGGGTTGCATAACTCCATACCCTCCATACCCTCCAACATTTCTCCAACATTTCTTAGGAACGTCCTAAGGAAAAGTGGGACATTCTGGGATCAAATCAGAAACCGGGATGGCTTCTGTAAATCCGGGACTGTCCCTGGAAAATAGGGACACTTGGAGGGTCTGAGATTAGCCCACCATTTACATCTGGCCCCTAAGTTGTGACTGGATAGCTCAGTTGGCTAGAGTGTGGTGCTGACAATGCCAAGGTTGTAAGTTCGGTCCCCGTATGGGACAGCTGCATATTCCTATATTGCAGGGAGTTGGACTGGATGATCCTCAGGGTCCCTTCCAACTCTACAATTCTATGATTCTAAATTACTGCCTTTCAACTGGGGGGTTGTCACGGCCCACAACTGAATAATGCTCTGAGCTAGGGTAGCTGCCATACGTCTGGATTTTTACTGTTGGGAATATGGCAACCCTTTCTGAGCTAAGGTGATTCACATCACTTCAAGAAAAAGGTTATATTTCTCTCTCTCTCTTCAAGAACAATAAGGAAATGTTTTAAAATGCAGGTTCCATGTTGCAGGCTGTGGTTACAGGTGGGTCCTGCCTCTGAAAAGACTGGGGATTAGTGGCCTAATCCAATTGAGGGTTGCCCCACCTCCACCCCACCACCCCTTCTCGATGAACAGCTCATGCAACTTTGCACAAGGCCTGTCTTTCCCAGGCTGCGAGGAGCTGGTGTGTTGGGACCTGTCCTTTAAGACGCCCGCCCCTTCTTGCCTTTGCTGATCTGTTGGCACCTCCAGCATGTATCCGGCGCAAGCTAACACCGCAGAGATTTGCAGGTGTATGATTAATGATGGGATATGCTGCGATTGGCATCAGAAGAACCCCCAAGGATAGTTATCACCCAAAAGGTGTTTGCCAAACACTGAGTTGCCTTGACTAGCACATTGTTGGAGCACCTCTTTCCACTTCCGCATGCCAGTCAGCTGAGCAGGAGACAGAGTGCTGGTTTTGCAGAAAGGAACCTACTATTTTCCACCTGGTAATCTGCAGCCATCATTAGAGTGCTCCAGCAAAGCTATTATCACAGGCAGTGATGCAAGAGGAAGAGGCACGGGGAGCAAAGACTCTGTGGGCATTTTTGGCTAAGTAATAATATTCTCCCCACTCCTTCTAGCTGATTTCTGCTGTAAGAGCAGGATTCTCTAATCCAGACAAGGCCCACCAGAAAGCAAACAGAATCAGCTCCTTGCAGATCCGCAAGAGAACGGTTCATAGTGGATAAAGATGATCAATGTCTGCTGATCATTTAACACCGATAAAACTATCTAAAATGTACAAAAAATACCTCAAGTAAATGTTGGAGATGTGGGGAAGCAGAAGGTACAATGCTACATATGTGGTGGAACTGTAAGAAAGTAAAGGATTTCTGGGAGGTAATTTATAACAAGCTCAAAAAGATATTTAAGATCTCTTTTATTAAAAAAAGTTGGAAGCTTTCCTTTTGGGTATACTAGGTTCAGACATCGCTAAAAATGTGAGGAAAATATTCTTGTATGCCACGGTAGCTGCAAGAATATTAATCTCTACATACTGGAAAGGGGACACAATCCCGAACAAATTGGAGTGGCAAAGTAAACTGTTAGAATACGATGAGCTGGCAAAAATGATAGGGAAATTGAGAGGACACACTGAACAAACATTTATTAAAGAATGGGACATGTACAAAAAATATCTTAAGGAATATCGTAATAATATGATGTCAATGACAGGCCTTGAATGACCTCTGTGGTACAGTAGAAATGCATAGGAGAAGTCATTAATGACTTATAATGAAAATTAATAAATGAAAACAGAAAGTACATTAGAAGAAATAGGTGGTAGATGCATGATGGGGTGACAGGATGTCGTTACAGATGTAAGAAGAAGTTAATGTGATTTGATGTAAGATTTTTTTATTGTTATTTCTGGATGAATTTTTGTTTTTCTTTTAATTTCAATACAGCATTTGTGAAAAGAAAAAAAGAAAAGAAAAAGTCTGCTGATCATGGTAGCTACATGGCATGCCCAAGATCAGAGGATTAGCATGCCTCTGAACCCCAGTTGCTGTGGAGGAATAGCTATAGCCCTCCTGCCTTGCTGTGGACTTCGTTGAGGTATCTGGTTGGTCGCTGTGCAAAACGGGAGCCTGGAAGAAATAAAACCTTTGGTCTGGAAGCACTTCTTCCATAAAACTACAGAACTCACTCCTACTATAGTAGATGTGGTGATGGCCACCCACTTGGATGACTTGAAAAGAGGATTAGACAAAAGAATAGAGGAAGAGGCTATCATTATGCCTCTGAGTACCAGCTGCCATTGAGTGTAAGCTGGGAGAGTTCTGTGGTGCTGTTCATTGTCTTCCTAGTAGTCCCATGGACTGCAAGAAGATCAAACCTATCCATTCTTAAGGAAATCAGCCCTGAGTGCTCACTGGAAAGACAGATCCTGAAGCTGAGGCTCCAATACTTTGGCCACCTCATGAGAAGAGAAGACTCCCTGGAAAAGACCCTGATGTTGGGAAAGATGAAGGGCACAAGGAGAAGGGGATGACAGAGGATGAGATGGTTGGACAGTGTTCTCGAAGCCACCAGCATGAGTCTGACCAAACTGCAGGAGGCAGTGGAAGACAGGAGTGCCTGGCGTGCTCTGGTCCATGGGGTCACGAAGAGTCGGACACGACTAAACGACTAAACAACAACATAGAACATAAGAAGAGCCTTTATGCCATCGAGTCCAGCATTCTGTTCTCACAGTGGCGAACCATAGAAAGCCCACCAGCAGAACTTAGGCACAAGAGCCCTTTCCTCTCCAGTGGTTTCCAGAAGCCGGCATTCAGAAGCAGCGATTCTTCAAGGTCTCAGGCAGCGAAGGATCTTTCTCCGCACCCTGCTATCGGCTCCTTTTCTTAAATCAGCAATGCAAGGGATTGAACTTTTTGCAAACAAAGCAGGTGTGCGCCAACTGAACTGCAATCCTTGCTTTTCGTTTTGGAAGCCGGTATGCTGGTTGCTACTTGAGGAAATCTGGGAGAAAGCCTGGCCCACTTGTACCTTTGATCACATCGGTTCTTTTCTTATCTGCTCATTTCCTCCTAATGAGTGGGTGTGGAGGCTGAAGAGTGAAAATAAATGCAAACAAGCAATCACTGCAGATGCTTTTACTCTCGCAAGATTGAATGTATTGCCCTTGGCTGTACTGGAGGGACGATTCCAACAGATTTCACACGAAAAATGCTTATGTCCCTGTGGAGATGGCAGGACTGAATCGGTGGCGCATGCCCTTCTGGCTTGCTTTCTTTATAAAGACTTGAGGAATGAGGTTATCACCCCTCTTTTATTGCCCAACCACTGCCACAGTGTCCTTTCTCTTGTCAGATCAAGATGAGCAGATGACAGCAAAGGCTGCAAGGTTTTTAGCTGGGGCAATTGGAATAAGATCCACCCTTTGACTATTGATTCAAAACCCTAAAATGTATTTTATATAACTGACTTTTTATTTCTATTCTCTGTATATCGTATTGTTGTTTTATTGCTATGGCTGATGGCTAACGCAAATAAAGATTCATTCATTCAATCAATCAATCAATCAATCAATCAGTCATTGCAGATTTGAGAATAGAAGCTGCAAGGATACAAGGAGAACCCAGGGCTCTGCCTCAAGATGCCTGCAAAACAAGGGTCACCGTTGCCTCTGGAAAGATGCAGTGTAAGAAAAGGGAGTCAAGACACAAGGAGGATTGACTGCTGGCCCTCAGCACCTCAGAGCAATGTGCTTGTTGCTTAGCTCACCTCAGGGGTGGCGCATCCTATTTTGGCATTTGAAGTGAAATGAAAAGTGCCACTTGACACTATCATGCCGCCTGTCCTGTTGCCTCTACCGCTAGCACTGCTGCCACAGTTCCCATCATGTCACTGCCAATTACTGGTGAGATCTCACGAATCTCACTGAAATCTCATGAGATCTTTCATGCGCCAGAGATGAGCTGCTGTGCTCGTCAGGCCTGACAGTCTGACAAGTCTGTGCAGATTGTGTTCTTGCTAATACAGAGTTAATTCCAGCTTGTACAGTGTGATTTACTGCCGGCTTGCTCCTGACAACCAGACAGCCCTTCAAAAAGGGGACGACTTCAAATAGAGAATTGTCCTTTTTAAAGTAGGGCACATGACCTCCCTAGTGTCTGTCCAAATGTACCCTGTCTGTTCTTTTGCTTTCTGCTTGCTGATCCTGCTGTCTCCTGGGGGCGGGCCCTCAGACATTTGACTTGATAAAGAGTGCAACTAAGCATGTGCAAAATTCAGGAAGTGGGCTTGTGTGTCAGAGCACTTGGGTTTCAGGCTAGCGTGATTTTCAGTTCTTCTCCTTTTAGAAATGAAGGCCTGGCAAGAGTTAAACCTTGCAGTTTGGGAAAGAACCTCTCTGTTTGGAATACACATGAAATGATGGCTTCCTACTGTTGACACTGACCATGTAATTAATGTTTTCATTTTAGGAGAACTCTGCAGATGATAAATCGAAGACAACCAAAGAGCTTTGAAATGATTGTTTTTGTATATGATGTTGATAGTGATAAACAACATTAACGGAACCACAGATGAGATGAGAATCAGGCAGAAACATGATGTATCACCAGAGATATCTTGTTTTCACTAAGTGCTGGAGTCTGATGGCCGCAAGAGACATAAAGAACACAGGAAGGCAGAAGTTAGATCAGGATCTACTCTGAGTGACTGCAGTAGATCAACAGAACATTGCAGATCAACCTATACTGAAGAAATGAAGAAAGCTAACCAGGAACAGACTTATGTGCTTGAAAGGAGCACCAGCCTTATTCCATCCTGGTACTGAAACAAATTCCTGGGCTCAGACTGTTCAGATGTACCCTGTTCTTTCATCCTAACTATGCTTTTTGCACCTGGTTCTGGTGGGTACCTCCTGGAGCTCTGGTAAAACAACTTCAAAGTAGACGAGACAAGTCCTGAATACAGGAGCAGCAGGGAGATTTTATTTTTATTGTGAATGTGGTCCTCAGTTGTAGCAAACCTCACTCTAGATTTTTGTACTGCTCGATACTTGGTAGTGGACAGCCAGCATCCTGATTCATGGCCTTTGATGACTGGTTCAGGTTGACAACCAAGTTCAAGGAATACATGTGTCACACTGCACCAACCTGGGCAGAAAGCTTAAAGGAATATTTTCAGAGCAAAGTACTTGCAAGGTCTTCAGGCTCCTCAAGAAGGAGTATTTTGTTCCAAAACAAGTAGAGCTAAAATATAAGTATTGTATCAATAAACAACAGAGCTTGTTTGAGGGCGCAGTTGTGGCAGCAGGGCCCGTGACAGCATGGGTACAATGGTGGGGGGCAGGGAAGGGGCCAAGAGCTGCAGGGTGGCAGCCAGGCAGCTGTGAGGGGAGCAGTGGTGGAGTGTTTTGCCTATGATGGGAAAAATATAATGAGCTGCCCCTGGCACTATCTCACTGCGAGCATAGAAGTAAGATTCATTTGCCTGTCCGGTAAGCTTCTGTATTGTTACGAGTTTGTGGGTGCCAGACCTCTCTAATCCGTGGACCCGGTAAGTGTTAGAATTTAATCAAGGCTTGGGGTGCTAAGCTGAGTACCAGACTTCTAATCCCTGGACCCAGCAAGTGTTAACCGCTAATTAAGCCAGGCTTGTTTCTATAGGCCATTAAGAAAAGAAAGGAACAAGGGGGTTTGATGTGAGATGGTGTCAGGCTTAAGGGAATCCGATCCCTCCCACGGTGGCAGCCAAGAAGCAGAGAAACAAGATTTCTTACCAAGTAATTTATTCACTATGCACAGAGAGAGGCGAAGGAATGCAGTCTCCCTAAGATAATGGCGCTGCTCCAAGTAAAGTCCCACCCCCTCCGTCTCTTCTATTCTACATCACCACTGCATTATCTGATCTGAGCCTTCTGCCTCTGAGCTTCCTGTTCTACTACTCTCAATGCCCGCCTAGTCCTGAGGGGGGGGCAGGAATGCTTTCCAAGGACACTGAGTCTGTCAGCTGTCTCTCCCCTGATGCTTCTTCTTCCTGTTGTTCCTCTCCCAATATTTCCCAGCTTCTCCCCTCTGCAGCCTCTGAACTATGCCCTTCTGCAAACCACTGTTCTAAATCTATACTGTCCTCCTGTTCTCAGGAAGGTTCAGGAGAAGAGGGTGGCCCCCACCATTCCTCCTCAGTCCAGCCCTGACAAATGGGTGGGCCCCTCCTTCCTCAGCAGATAAAGCCAAATTTTAGAGAGGTTAGGTGAGCTAGAAGCTGGAGGCAAGTTGAAAAACCAGAAAATACAATGTTTCAGGAAGGCCGGCTTGGCCCCACAACCGTGGCTGCCTGGGGCAATGGGTGCCATGCAGCGTGCATGGCCCTGGCACCGAAATTTCTGGGTGCATGGCCCCTTCTTGAGAAATTTTGTGGGGGTTCAGGCTCCCAGGGCCCCAGGGAGTTGGCACCTATGCAATGTTTGATGTCTGCCTGAATCCAAGGCTGCGGCTAGGGGAGAAACAAGACCCGTTTGGGGTGTTAATGCTGTGAACCCCTCCATCGTACGCTCAGGTTGTATATATGTGTAAATAAAATATATATCCTAAAGACACCGCAGTCTCTGTTGTGCCTCCTTACCAAAAGGAAACACGAACTCTGGGTGAGTACCCGGAACCCCTGAAATCTTGCACCGCTCAGAGATTGGGGTGTCGTGCCACAGTATGTTTGATTGTAGCTGATCCCGATGGCTAGCTTTCTGTCCTGAGGCCTGTCACCACTGTTCAAACACCCCGACGTTAACTTTTCACCTTCTTGAGAAACATCAGAAGAGTAACTTATGAAAAGAAAAGAAACAAAGAAGGGTGACTTGTTGGACAGGTTTTTCTTGACTCGGTTACAGACAGGATGTAGCGATATGGGGGAGAAACCTCCGTATCTGACAAGCAACACCATCGTGTGTGTGGTTTTAGCCCACAGACTGGTGAGAGGTGGATATACACACACTGTGCTATATGTCAACAAGCAAGAAATGCAAGCTTACCTCAAGTTGCTCTAGGGCTGGCCAAACCCTCGAGAACCCACATACGGGACAGAAGCTGTTGCCAAATAGCGACTGCTACGTGCGAAAACACTGCATGTGCTTTCAAGGATAATTCATGAATCTTCCATGATTTGTATTAGAACAGGAGTGGAGATCCATTTTCAGCCTGTGGGGGGCACATTGCCTTCTGAGCAAACTTCCAGGGGCCACATGCCGCTGTGGGCAGGGCCAGAGGCAAAAAATTGGGCAGATTCTGTCTGCACCGACACAACTCTATCTTCCATTCAGGCATGCAAGAAGCATTGTGGAAGTTGAAGGGCATATTCCAGCCAGGCAAACATGTTCAAGGAGGGTTCAAAAGAGGGCAAAAGATCTGATTCATGGTGATGTAGCTGAAGATCACAGGATCTCTTTCCTTCCTTGTGTAACTCTTAGTTCAATTCTCCTACACTGTGGTATAGGGGAGATGGAATGCAGGGGAGCTCTGTTCTGGTTCTTCAGTCACATGAATGTTGATATCGCTCGCATCCACACCATACATTGAAAGCAAATTAAAAGCACATAGCTTCCCACAAAGAAATCTGGGGATGGTTATTTGTCAAGGATTCTGGGAACTGTAGCTCTCTGAGGGAGAAGCTAGAGTTCCCTGGTTTGTTTGTTTTTTTAAAAAATGTGTTTTTAGCTCCCATTTTTATGTTTATGTGAATGAGAGTGAAATTGCTGTGATTGGCATAGCATAGGTACGCTTACGTGGAGCTCAATATCTACATGCGAGAATAAAATAACAAAGCAACAGATTGAGATAACACATTACAGTTGGCTTTATTGGATATTTTTACAGCAGACAGCTCAGATCTACACAGGAAAGAGCTTATCAGACATCTCTTACAATCTGAAAGGGCTTTTAGGCATTGGGAAGATCTCTCCGGTGCTGCCAAATTGGTATGGGATATATGGCATTACTAGAAAAAATAATAAATAAGCTGAGGATTGTACAAGGCCAGACTAAGGGAGATAACATTACTGTAGTGTGGTCTGATTTTGTAATATTTACTAAGGTTGAATAGCATGGACATTCCCCGTTACCTGTATACAACAAGGTTTGGTTGATGTAGGGTCTCACATGGTACCTCTAAAACCAGCAAAAACTGTTTGAATAAACTTTGAAATTTATTTCGAACTCATCCATTCTGAGAGACATGATTAACAAACTCACCTGCCCAGTGGATGTCATTTGGATATGGTATACACTGCAGAGCTCTTGATTTATTGGTTTTTGCTTAGTTTTAAATAATTACCTACTTTTTGTTTTATTTAGGTACTTGTTTCTCTTTTTATCTTTCTTTTGTAGTATTTTATTGGCTGCCAAGCTTAGTTTGTTTCTTTGAAGTGCATAATATTGTTTTGATAGATGTAATATTTACTTTTCTTTTTATGTGCTTTAAAATTTAATAGTTTTTTTTTAAAAAAAAATCTACATATATCGGACTGTTAGCTCATTTATTCAAGAGGTGCCTATTCTGACAGTGCAGTGGTACCTCGGGTTAAGAACTTAATTCGTTCTGGAGGTCCGTTCTCAACCTGAAAGTGTTCTTAACCTGAGGTACCACTTTAGCTAATAGGGTCTCCCTCTGCCGCAGCACAATTTCTGTTCTCATCCTGAGGTAAAGTTCTTAATTTGAGGTACTATTTCTGGGATAGCGGAGTCTGTAACCTGAAGCGTCTGTAACCTGAAGCGTCTGTAACCTGAAGTGTCTGTAACCCAAGGTACCACTGTACTTGAGAAACTTCAAGCACGGATTAAGAAACTGGGATCTTCAACATGCAGAACATGGAATCCACCACTGAGCTATTATACAGAGTCTGCTCAACAGTTTATACTTTGGCTCACAACCATCTCCGGAAAGAGACTTTAGGCTGATAGGCTATAACTTGAGCTGCACTACTGGATCAATCCTGGACCATCTCTCTCCTCAAATGTTAGCGTCTATTGTTTTATTGCTGCTTATAACACGAAAGTCAATAGAAAAAAAAAATCATTTATCTAGTCCAGCCTTCCATGACCTGGTTTCCTCCAGATAGCTCCACCTTCCACATCCCTGACCACTGGCCACGCTGACTGGGGCTGCTGAGAAATGGATTCTGATAACACCTCAAAGGCTCCTCACCCCTGATGTCTATCAGTAAAGCAGACTCCCTTGGGAGGTGGTGGACTCTCCCTCCTTGAAGGTTTTTAAGCAGAGGTTGGATGACCATCTGTCATGGATGCTTTAGCTGAGATTCCAGCATTGCAGAGGGTTGAACTAGATGAGGGATCCTCAGGGTCCCTTCCAACTCTATGATTCCTAGAAGGGACCTTGGGGTCCCTTCCAGCTCTATGATACCACACACAAAAAAGGCCCATGGCTTTGTACTCAAGCAAAAACGTTCCAGAAATATCCACTTCATTCAAATAAGAAAAGAGGGCCTTTCACGTCAGAAGGCTTTTTACCGCCTGGCTAAAACGATAGAAGAAACTGAGAGGGACACTTGTTTGAGGCAGGCTTCTGTTTTCCTTTCACAGGGGACCCCTTGTTGTAGCAGGCATTGAATCTGGGACACTTTGAAGATACTCAAATCACTTTTCACAGGGACCTGATTGTTATCTGAGCTGCATCTATGCAAGAGCCTTTCAGCAACCACATCACTCTCGATTTCACCTCCAGCAACTTTGCCGGGTGACTGGCAGCTACAAGTTCTCCCCACCCACCCCCCACCCAAAATGCTCCTACAAAGGAGTGTGTGTGTGTGTACAGGTGTGTGTGCGTGCGGACAGGTGTGTGTGCTCAAGGGTTTAGCTGCGGCTTAAGTAAACTATCATCTAGGTTTTACCAATGCCTTTCCCCTGAGCCAAAAGCCACCTACTGTGAATCACACCTTTTGTTGGCATGGGGGGGGGGGGGACACAGCAAGGTAAGACAAAGGGGAAAAGGGGAGGGGAGAGGAGGAAAATGCAGTTTCTTTGCAAACACTTGGGAAAGAAACACAGCCCACTTTGTGCTGACTGACCAATGAGTGTTTAGGGCTGGTCCATTCCAGAGGACTCACATATCAGCTTTGTTGGGTGGACAACCCTCCCACCCCCACCCCAACCCAGAGGCTGACATAAAAGGAGGCAGGTAGAGAAGCGTTGCTCACATTTCTGCCTCCAGAACACACACTGTGTTAACTTGCTTGCCAAGAGCTGCTTTCAGAAATCCCCTCTCAATGGCCAGTTACAGCTTCAGGCAATCCGTCTCTGGCGGGGGCTATGGCGGGTCTTCCTTCAGAGCTCCAAGCATCCATGGTGGATCTGGTGGCCAGGGCATTTCCATGTCTTCCGCTAGGTTTGTCTCCTCTGGGGCTGGAGGAGGCCTAGGGCTTGGCTATGGCGGAGGAGCTGGGGCTTGCTATGGTGGTGGCCTTGGCGGTGGCCTTGGTGGGGGCTATGGTGGGGGATTTGGTGGGGGCTTTGGGGGAGGTGTTGGAGGTGGCTTTGGCGGCAGCAACGACGGCCTCCTTTCTGGAAATGAGAAGGTCACTATGCAGAACCTGAACGACCGCCTGGCCAACTACCTGGACAAGGTGCGTGCTCTGGAGGAAGCCAACACAGAGCTGGAGGTGAAGATCCGAGAGTGGCACCAGAAGCAGTCTCCCACCAGCCCATCCAGGGACTACAGCCACTACTATAAGACCATCGAAGATCTCAGAGACAAGGTAGGACTTCACATTTGTAAGCTGCATGGTGGGAGGGGGCGTGGAGTGCTCAGCACGCACCAAGGGCCTAGCTGTGAAAACGGCAGAGGTGGAGAACTACACCCACCCACGCAAATAGCTGAGCTGGGTAGGTCTGGTTAGGAAGTCCCAACCTCTCGGCATTTCCATCTGTAAAGTGGGTGCAATAGCAACCGAGCTTGAATGGCTGTGCATGTTTGGTAAGAGCTTGCACAATGAAAAGGCTGCATTCAGATGCTTGCCCTTCAGTTTTGCCCTACTGAGGATGAGCATCACAGTAGCCTCCCTTACTAGGTGAACAGCTCAGGGCTTGTGCAGTATCTTCACAATTGGGTGAATGAGACAAGAATCAAAGCCAGGCTTTAAATACTGCAGCTGCACCTGTCTCAACCAGGAAGTGATACAGTGGATTAATTCCACATGCTGTTCATTAGCAATAATTTCCATTTAGCCCCCTTTCCTCTGCGGAGAATACATGTGCTGGTTGCCCCTGCAGTGGTTAGCCCTGCAAAGGTCTTTTCTTTTTGCCACAAAGCCCTTATTGGAAAGATGTGGCTGCAAGATGTTGCATTTGCAAACAGCTTTGTTCTGTGCATTGCTGCGAATTCAGTCATTTTACCCATTCTGGTGTATTCATAGCGCCAGAATGCAATGCAATCCATCTCTTTATCTGTCTGATTGCAATGGAAACTGTTTGAATACAGCCAGTTTCCTTATCTGTTTTGTTTCCTGGCTCCAAGACTGCAGCAAACAATGCCTGGCTTCAGTTAATAATGCCTTCTGGCATTATCGGAGTTTGGTCATGCTGGGCTACCTTTTCTAGGACTGCAGCTATGTGAAACACTTGCTGGCACTGCCCTCAGTTCAGCAGTATTCTGATCCTTGATAGCTCTTAATGGAACTTGGCTGAGCAACCACCAAATATCAAATTCTAGAAGCCAATGTTCACAATCAATCTTAGAACTGAATGGGAATTTATTTTCAGGGTTTGCAAGAGTGGACCAGGGACACTATATGTGATGCATGTCATAAAACAAGATTTAGACTGCAACCCTCTACACACTTACTAGGGAGCAAGTCTTGGTGAACGGAATTTACATCTGAAGAAACATGCATAGACTTGCCCTGTTAGTTGCTTAGTCCGAATGTACATTTGGAAGTGTGGCATTTGCCTGGATTTATGCTCCTAAGACTCTGTCTCTCCTTCATTCCCACATGAGGTTGGGCATTATCCCTTCCCATGCCATCAGGTCAGGAATGGAGACTGAGAGGTATTTTCACCACATCCTGAGTCTGCTCTCACATGATATAATGGGTTGGGTGAGCCAGAACCAGTTATAGATACATACCGTCAGCTGCAATTCTTGTGGTAGAGCATTGCTTTTCTAGCAGTCGTGGTGGGTGGAAAACTCATGGTCCTCCACGTGTTTTGGTCACCTGTGACCATCAGCCATGCTGGCTTGGAATGATGGGAGTTGTAGTCCAACAATATCAGGAGGGTGTCAGGTTCTTCATCCTAGCAGTAAATGCAGGCTTCCTTAAACTCAGCCCTCCAGATATTTTTTGGCCTACAATTCCCATGATCCCTAGCTAGCAGGACCAGTGGTCAGGCATGATGGGAACTGTAGTCTCAAAACATCTGAAGGGCCGAGTTTGAGGAAGCCTGAGTAATTGCTTTTTTACCACATCCATCTCACACATGGCCTATGAGAGATAAATACTTTTCTAGTTCTGAACCTCTCTTGCAACTGGAAAGTTCTTCCTAATATTGAAGCCTTTGTCTCCGTGAAGCTTAAACCCTGTGCTCTCCCTGGTGGATAGAGTGAAAGAGTGTCCTCCCCACTCCTGCTTCTGATTCTTTCACTCATCCCTTCATGCATCACCATCCTGACTTACCAAGAGGTTTCACACAGACCTGAACTGGTTCCTCAGCAGAGGCCTCTTGGTTCTGAAGTCAACCTTGTTACCGCAGGACTGCTGTGGCTTTGTTCGAGAACCTGTGGTTGAACCTGCTGTTATTTCAAAAAGGGGGGAAAACAGACAAGAAAACTGTGGATGTTGGCTAAGCTATGTGCACCGTAATCTTCTCTCTTTATGTACAAGACAAGGTTTATTTTGCTCTAGCAGAGTCATCGGCACACAATGGGAGTTTGTTTATGAATGAAGCACACACGCCCTCAAGGCACACACGGAGAAACACAAAAGCAAACAGTTATTGTAAGGAAATCTGCACCAGCCTTGAGAGTTCATGACCATCGCCTCCCAAGGAGGCTTGTCACTTTTCATTTTTACCCTTCAGGTCCCTGAGCAGGGCCTGAAATAAACTAGAGCCAGCAAGGAACTTAGCACTTCATTTATACAACTGGGTCAAAGCCAGCAGGCTATGGGCAGAGCTTAGGGTAGATTCTGGTGGAATGTGGGTGAGGAATGAGTAAAGATGTCAATCCATTGACAGTTTACAGATGTCACTGTGAATTATTCAGCCTATGAGCTTGGGATCTGTCACAACATAATCTAAGGATGGAAAACAATGCTGGGCCAGTCACAGATCTGGTGGAGCTGGTATTATTCTACAAGAGGGATGAGGAACCTATGGTCCTCCAGATGTTGTTGACGACAGCTCCCAGCATCCCTGACCACAGGCCATTCTGGCTGGGATGGATGGGTCTGATCACATCTGGAAGGCCACAGGAGTCACATGCCTGTTCCAAGTGGTCACGTAGGCTGAGTCATGTCATTATGTTATGGAAAAATCAGTATAACGTGATGCTATGGACCTGGGTGAACAAGTGAATCCAGGGCTGACCTAAGACATTTTTTTGCCTGGTGCAAAAGGGAAGATGGTACCTGCCACATTCCACTTGCAAAAGCCAACCAAATTAGTGTTTCTGTATCGTGCTTGGATGCTGGCAACAGGACAGGATGTGCCCCACAGTGGAAGCTGGTTCATATAGGCAAATGGGGAGCTGCCCCTCCAACCTCAGTCTGCCCTCAACTAGCTCTCACTTGCCTGCCTTCTTACAACAATCAGGGAGTGGCTCTGTCTGTCATTGGCTCTGGCTGCACCTACTGTTGATGTCCCAGCCTTCTCCAATACAAGCCCCAATGGGTGCCAGCCACCACTGGAGGCACATAAAGCTCAGTTCATTCCCTGTTCCTCAGCATTAGGCCTCTGACATAGCTGCATCACTTTGTCTCATGGTAGGGCCGGCCCTAAGTGTTCCAGCTTTTTTCAGGATGTAATAACAGACTCACCAGCCCTACTGAAGAGGCTCCTCATGAGGCCGGAGGAACATCGCCCGGCTAAAGTTTTATTGATTATTGATTTTAATATGCTGTAAACTGCTTTGAGATTTTTAATAATAATAATAATAATAATAATAATAATAATAATAACGAGCAATGATGATGCACATTCAGAAGACTATTTCCCCTCCACAATGTGCTGAGCCACACCTTTCACACATCATTGCAAGCAAATCAATCAATGTGTGTCGATGGCCACCAAACATATTTTTTTAAAAAAGAGAAAACTTACAACACATATGAAAGCAAATAACCCAACACGGGTCGCCTCTTTTCTTGCAGATCCTTGAAGCGACAATTGACAACAACAAGGTTATCCTGCAGATTGATAATGCCAGGCTGGCTGCTGATGACTTCAAAACCAAGTGAGACAACTTTTCATAGGCAGAGAAATAGAAATGGTCATGATGCTCAGAGCTATGGTGAAATATTGAGCAGAGTATGCGGGGGACGCTATGGTCTAAACCACTGAGCCTCTGGGCTTGCTGATCAAAAGGTCGGCAGTTTGAATCCCCACAATGGGTGACCTGCCGTTGCTCGGTCCCAGCTCCTGCCAACCTAGCAGTTCGAAAGCACATCAGTGCAAGTAGATAAAAAGGTACTGCTGCAGTGGGAAGGTAAACGGCGTTTCCGTGCACTGCTCTGGTGTCAGTGTTCCATTGCTCCAGAAGCAGCTGGCCACATCACCCAGAAAAACTGTCTGTGGACAAACACCGGCTCCCTCGGCCTGTAAAGCAAGATGAGCACCACAACCCCAGAGTCGTTCGTGACTGGACTTAACTGTCAGGGGTCCCTTTACCTTTACCTTTATGTGGGGGAAAACTAGTTTTCTTGGCACTCTACATTTCACAGTGATTAGGTTAAGGCAGCTCAGACAATTTTAGCAATTGATCATCATTTGCTGGCATTGATTTGTTTTAAAAGGTTTGAGTCTGAGCAAGCCCTGCGCATGAGTGTTGAGGCTGACATCAATGGGCTGCGCAGAGTCCTGGATGAGCTGACCTTGGCTAGAACTGATCTGGAGATGCAGATTGAAAATCTGAAGGAGGAACTGGCTTACCTTAAGAAGAACCATGAGGAGGTAAAGAAAGACAGCATTCAGCATTTTGAAGCATAGTAGCATAATAATAATGTAACAAAATGACGATTTGTTTTTTATTATTAGTTTATTGTTGCTGTTGCTGTTTCTGTTGCTAATAATAAGTATAAACCACACTTCTAAAAGTTCCCAGGGCAGTAAGAGTTTCCAATAAAGTAGAGTATTAGAAGACCACCACCATTGCCATAGTCACCATATATAACCCACAGCAGCACAGAACATCAACATCCAGCGATGGGCAAACCCATCTCATTAATCATCAAAGGCCAAGTGAAACAGATCCATCTTCATTAGGTGATGAAAAGGCGCTAGCGGGCAGACATATCTGCAATGGAGGGAGTTCCAAAATCAGGGAGCCATAACTGAGAAGGCCCTGCTGCAGAAGCAGTTTCAGATTGCCAGATGTTAGGAGGATAAGAAGGATGACTCTGAAATAGAGATGGATGGGGAGCTTGTAGCCTTCCAGATGCAGCAGGATCACAGTGCCATCGTCTATTCCTCATTACTGAGGCCTCAGATTTAACGTATGGTGAGACATCATGCACAGAGGACCACATAGAAGGCAGAGAAGAATTCTTGGCTTTCTACCAACCTCTGCCACCCTCAAAAACCAGCCTCCACCAGATGCCAAAGCACACACACACACCCTTCCGTGGTGGTGGAGGGGATAGCAGCAGAGCTGCATGGTGAGATGAGAGGACGTAGGCATGGTCTCTCCTCTCTCTGTTGACCTGGCCCTTGACATGCTGCCTTGACATGCTACAGGACAGCCTGCTGGGGAATGAGGGGTGGGTGGGCATAGGAAACCCCTCATCTTCAAGCATGCCTGTGGTGCTGCTCCCACTTTGACGTCTTCATGGAAAAGAGGAGTGTGATTGAGGAGCAGGAAGATGCAACTTTCGGTTCCAGGGAAGGACAGTGGATAAAGGATAGTCTTCAACACTAGTCCTACTCAGAGTAGACCCAGTGAAGGCACTAACTTGGGGGTCATTAACTTAAATGGGTCTACTCTGAGTTGGACTTAGTTGAACACCACCCATAGTTTTTCCTGATACCCCCTTGACAGTCCCCCCAACAATCTGAGACTAACTCAGAAGATTGTGGACTCTCCTTCATGGGAGATGTTTAAACAGAGGTTGGGTGGCTATTTGTCAGGGATTATTTAGCTGTGATTCCTGCATTGCATGGGCTGGAGTAGTTGACCCTCGGGGCCACTTCCAGCTGTACAGTTCTATGATTTTATGACACACTCTCTCTGTTTTTCCAGACAACCTCAGATAATCCCTGTGTTAGCCCAAAGGGAATGTGGAATAGTGTGCCTAACCCTAGATAAAAGGATAGCTGTTAGGCATTGTTGCTCTGCTGACACACCTGCAATTAATGCCTATGTCTTGGTCTCTTTTTACAGGAAATGAGTTCTATGTCTGGGCAAGTAGGAGGCCAAGTGAGCGTTGAAGTTGACTCTGCTCCTGGCATTGACCTCACCAAGGCTCTGACTGATATGAGAGACCAGTACGAGAAGCTGGCTGAGAAGAACAGGAGGGACGCTGAGGCTTGGTTTACCACCAAGGTGAGATGGAACAGCCTAAGAGAAGGAAAGAAAGGGAAGGTCTTTAAAAAACAAACCAAGAGAAACAATTTCGTGGAAGAAAACTGGGCTGCTGTGAACTCACCTTGCCCATAAAATTGAACTGCTGAATACAGTGCAATAAAATGTAAATGTAGAGCTCCTCTAGATTGGTGAAATATTTTGGCAGGTGTATTCTGCAACATGTCATAGTGCATTAATGTTGGATGTATACTGGACCATCTTTCCACCTTACTGGTTGTTCTGCAATGCTTCCCCAACGCTACCGCATTATTGCCATCTGGAGGGGCACTCCTCAGTTATAATGTTACAAAACCAGGAGACACTCTCTCCACTGCAGGACTTTTCATTTGTGTTATGAAAAGTTGCAGGATTTCAGCAGGAAGCAATGGGGACATTCGCCCCAAAACGTTTGCAGGTGCAAAGAGTATTAAAAGTGGGGTGACATAGAATTGTCCCCATACCACTGCAAGCACAAATCACCATGAATGGACAGTAGAAAGGATATCAAAAGGGCTCGTAATAAAACGAATGCGGTGTAAATAAATTCAATGTGAATGTTGACATATTCTTCTTTATTTCTCCCCTTAAACAAACAAACAGACTGAAGAACTGAATCGAGAAGTTGCGGTCAACACCGAGCAACTTCAGAGCAGCAAGACTGAGATCACAGACTTGAGGAGGACCCTCCAAGGCCTGGAGATTGAGCTCCAGTCTCAGCTCAGCATGGTACATGGAGTGGTGATGGGTTATTTCTACTGCTTGGGTACTGAAATAAGTAGTCACGGGTTGCGTTTGCCTTTTGTAGGGTGTGTGTGAAAGAGTCAACCTCCATCATAGTAGGCAGTAGGCCTCTGAATACCAGTTGATGGGAACCACAGGTGGGCAGTTGTGCTCGTGTCCTCCTTGCAGGTTTCCCACAGGCATCAGGTTGTCTACTGCAATGACAGGATGCTGGACTAGGTGGGCCATTGGCCTGGTCCAGAAGGTTCTTCTTATGCTTTAGGGACATGGAAACTCTAGAACAGTGTCTCCAAGCTGTTCTCGGACTACAATTCCCATCATCCCTGAGCACTGGTCTTGCTAGCTAGGGATGATGGGAGTTGTAGCCCAAAAACAGCTGGAAACCCAAGTTTGGGAAACCCTGCTCTAGAACACAATGAATGTGCACGCTCACTTGCACACAAGCACACATTCCCCCTATTATCTGAGAAGGGAAAAGTTGAAAACACTGGGATAAAATCACTTGCCCACTTCCTAATTGTTTCTCTACAAATACGGGCTTCTTCTTTTTCCTGAAACTGCGAGCTACTGCTAATCTCAGAGCAAGACAACTGTTGCACAGTGCAAATGATAGTGTTAATTTACATTTGTAGCCTGCCATATTTTGAAATCCTCATGGCAGTCAGCAGTTGGTTGAAATGCAGCAATAAATACTTAGCATGTGTTAAAACACCACACCAGGTGAGTTTTGGCCAACTAATGCCAGCATAGCTGTGTAAACACTGTGCAGTGCTTCTGAAAGGTGTTCTGACAAGGGCATTGGCAAATCCCAGGGTTTCAGTATTGACTTCCAAACAAATATTTCCATTTTGCTGCAGACGCCTGTTCTCTGAACTGCAGCCCAGTTTCCCATTATGCTTACAACACTTCTTTAAAATTCACACCCATATCTTGGTGACAGTCTCTGGCACACCCACACACACTTTCTCACCGACACCACTTCTCTTCTCAGAAAGCTGCCCTGGAAGGCACCTTGGCCGATACGGAGGCTCGCTATGGGGCTCAGCTGTGCCAGATCCAGGGATTGATCAGCAACATCGAAGCGCAACTGGTTGAGGTCCGATCGGACATGGAGCGTCAGAACAGCGACTATAAGACCCTGATGGACATCAAGTCCCGGCTGGAGCAAGAGATTGCGACCTACCGCCAGCTCTTGGATGGCCAAGATCTCCAGTAGGTCACTTGACAGGTCTTTTATGACCTAGTGCTCAAAGAGAGCAGATGTCTCTGGTTGCCAGATTCTGGGTATTAACCCAGCCTTTAATAACCCAAAACAGTTACTAGCCTGCCACTCAATCAGCCAATAAATACTAGGCTACTGGGGGTTGGTATTGACTGTGAAAGAGCTCCACTCCCCTGTGCTGGGGATCCCATGTGGTGTCCATGCTGAGCACGGGAAGGATAGAATCTGGTTTAATCACTCACCTGCATGGAATTCTTGGTCAACTATGGTGACCAGGCTCATGCATTAAATACAAGATTGCATTAAACGGGAGATAAATATTTCTTCACATTTTCCCTGTGACCCCTGGGTGGCCATTATTAGGAGGAAGAACGATGGAGCTATGTAGGCTGTGGAGCTAATCTCCCGCTTCTGTTCCTATAAACCTTTCAAGCTCGAGGCTGGCTTCCCATGTTGTAAAACCGAAAAACTGGTTTTGTGTCAAACAAAGCTCTAGACACGGAGATTAATCCATATGGGGTGGAATCTGGTGGCACTGGTTCCATCTGCACTATGCATTTAGTATCATACCAACTTAAACTGTCATGGTTTCCCTGACCCATAGTATACTTGATGCTTAAGTAAGGAATTAATCTTGTATACCCCACGTCCAACCTAACGCTCCATTCCACCCATTGCTTCACATTGCCCCTACCATTTGTTCTTTGGTATGCAGTTTTCCAGCAGCTGCATACCTCATTGCAAGAAATGAGGTTACAGGGAACCAGACAGAGGGCCTTCTCAGTAGTGGTGCCTGCCCTGTGGAACGCCCTTTCATCAGATGTCAAGGAAATAAGCAGCTATCCTATTTTTAAAAGACATCTGAAGGCAGCCCTGTTTAGGGAAGTTTTTAATGTTTGAAGCTTTATTCTGTTTTTAATGTTCTGTTGAAAGCCACCCGGAGTGGCTGGGGAAACTCAGCTGGATGGGCGGGGTATACATAATAAATTATTATTATGATATAGAGAGGAGGTAATCAGAGAAAAAGAGACAGGCAACCACACACCCACTAGCTGTCCCCGACCAACTGTTTTTGGAAAAAATAATTGCTGACACAGTGTCACATGTAGTTTGGCCTTGGAATAAAAGCATAAACACTGGTTTGGAAAACCCCAGTAAAGTGGCAAATTATTATTAACTTAGAATAACAACCCCAGGTTGGAAGGTGGGCTGTTTCACAAAGTACATTGGGTCTGACATTGATAGTTAACGCTTCCCCTTCTTCTTTTCCTCCACAGTTTCTCCGGAAGTGTTTCGGGGACTAATGGTGAGGCTTCCTTCTTCATGGTGGGTTGAGGGAGTGTTTAGTACAAGCCATAGAATAATGCGGCCACTTTGCTGAAGCTAACCAGGTCCAAGCAAGCCCACATAAACCATGTTGAATTTCATGGTGACAGAAAGGCGGGCTATGAATTGGCCCATTGACATCTCTGGCATGGTGCCCCTTGTCCACTCATCTTCTCTACTTGTGCCATGCGGAAATCTAGAATATGTGGGCTTTAAAAACATTTTTTTTAGTTTTTCAAATTTTACAAGCATCAAATAAGAGAAAACAAAGCAAAGCAAAGCACATATCCCTTTGACTTCCCTTTCCCCTTTTGTAGATCCTTGTGTTTTAATGAATCCCCTTGCATCTCCTTTATAATTCAAATTTTTGCTAATCCTTTATTGTTCCTTATTTCAATTTTTTAAGCTACAAGTTTTGCATCAGTCCTTAAATTATGTGGGCTTTTGATTGGTTTGGCTGCTAAATCCAAAAGAGAATGGCCTTTACCACAGTTTCACCCAAATTATTCACGTTTCCATTCTGCTTATAGCTCCACTGTCTCCTCCCTCAGCCTCACCCCTCACCAAGCAACCCCTGACTTCTTCTTCATTGCCTGGCTTCTCTGCAATGCAGGCATGGAGGCCCAGTATGGCCCTTGCTTTTCTCCCTTGGTCTGAAACAGTTTCCCTGCCTCTGTTGTAATTCAGATAATAAATTCACTTAATAAGTCCTTCAAACGACGATTCTCAACCTCGTGTGCCCAGGTGGTTTTGGACTACAACTCCCATCATCCCCAGATATCTTAGCCAGTAGTCAGGGATTATGGGTATTGTAGTTCAGTAGGTTAGAAAACACTGCTTTGAACAGAGGCTATGTTGCTGATATGCACTGAAATATTAAATACTCAGCTGGGATAAGACCAAGGAGCTAAGGAAGCGATATTCCAGGTGGACTGGTGTTCGGGATCATGCCCTGGCTGCTTCCTTATCCCATCCACCCACCATCTTGGGCAGCAAGAGGGGGGTAAATTGTTCACAGGAAGTAGCAGGAAAACATGGAGTAGCCCTATTAAGGCACAGTACCGTCCCTCGGAGCCACAAGTGGTGTGATGGAGTCAGTTCCAGTTCCATTGCCATGGCAAGCCCTTCTGCAGGAGGCCCCTGAATTCTCACAAGAAGTTAGCAAACTCTTGTGAGATCATGTTGGCTGCAAGTGGGAGGCCAAGGCTGAGGCAGTTCAGGGTCCTCTTTAAGGAGGCAAATGAAACTCCATTTCTGAGGATAATCTTGCAGGGCCAAGGCTGGAGTCAGAGCAGAGGCTGTGACTGAGCCTCCCTTCCGTGGTTGGTGTAGACTTGGAGTGCTACAGAAGGTTTCAAAATGTGTAACTTGGATTCATTAACTCTTTCCCCCACCTTGTCTTGCTACAGACAAAGCAGATGATAAGAAGTGAGGAGCTCTCTCCTTTCCAGAAACAGGATGGGCAGCTGCCGTTTCTGGCAGATGAAAATCATCGTTTCAAAATCACTTAGCAGCAAACTTCATGAACACCCATTCTGGATGATCTAGCCACGCAATGGCTAGATTCTCTGACTTCGCTCTTCCTGTTTTTAACCTTTCTGTATGGTGTTTCTTCTGCCTAATAAAGTTCCTTTTGGGCTTCTGCAAACTGAAACCGAGACTCATTGCTAAGAGAGAAATTGACTGCCCGTTAATCACTGCAAGTTCTGATGAGTATATGACAAAGGGTTGTATTGAATATAGCATTACAGTGAATGTTCCGTCAGTATAACAATTTCTCCATTTACAACTAAACATTCTCCTCTCTCATCTCCCTGTGCCCTGCCAAGTTTATTCTGGGTTTCTCCCGACCCTTCAGAGCAGATTTGGGGGTGGTACAGGGCATGAGAGCGGGGGGAAAGGTGAGAATCCTATAGCGCTAGTGCAAGAATTCAGACAAATAGTTAAATATATTTTATCAAAGCTGGTGAGCAGGTAATTTCCCTCACCAAAATCTAACCCCTTTTCCTGCCATATGGAAAAAATTTGATGCCACAAAAAAAAGATACCACAATTAATTGATTTGGAATAATCCTCCACCACTCCAATTCCATTATCACAATCATCAAATACATTAGAATCCCCATGTAGCACATAAACACACACTGGAAAGATTAAACCCCCTTTTTAATGCTTTCATGGCTGGCCCAACCATTAGACGGAGTGAGACAGCTGCCTCAGGTGGCAGGTGCCAGTGGATGGCAGCAGTTTTCCTCTTCAACTATTTCCCTCAATCCCCCAAACTAGCTTGACTTTGCACAATCTAAGCTAGCCTGCTAGACTTCAGGCACGGGAGGATGTTGTCCCCTTGCCAGTGTTGTCAAAATTGAGTGCACTTCCATTTGGATTCTGTACATGGAATGGGGACATGCTCTGGTTCTTTGCCTCAGGCAACAAAATTACTTGCACTGGCCCTGAACTCTCTTCAGCCACCCTGACTGTAGAACCATAGGAGGAATGCAGATTATGAATAACCAGCTAGTAACCATGGTGTATATGTAACTGCTTGGAGGATGACTGGTCTGTGTTATTGTCCCATTTATAGAGGCAACTTTTGCTAGATGTCCATAATCTATCCATTCTGAAATCTGGGGAGTCAGGGCTGCGGTAGAATCATCTTCATCAACTGACATGACAATAAACATGCCTGGCTTCCCAAGTGGTTACATGCATGTTGTGTTTCCACCCAAACTACATGTTATATGTAGCTGTGTGATTCTTCTTCCACAATGGGGATTCTCCCCACCCATTCCTGCTTCAAGAAAAGGAAGCTACAGGGATGTAGAATCTCCTCTGAAGGACTAGCTTGACCTTCTTTTCCTTCCTGCCATTTGTCCCTCAAACTGGCCCACTTCCTTTCTAGCTCATGTCTGTACAGGTGGCGACCATTTTGTGCGGGACTTCTGTTCCTGGTTCCCAAACATGTCAGCAGAATGTGCATAAGCCTGCCCCATTACCACCACCACCCATTGCACCCCACCACCATTACATCCCATAATGCCTTATTCTGCCCTGTTCTGCCACCATTCTGCCCTCTTCCAGGTCCAAAAGAACCCACACGGTGGTGGTCACACATCAGTTGAACACTTGCAAAATGGCCACCACCTGTATATGTGAGTGTGAGACACAGATTTACCCTGCAGGAAGAAAAACAGTGTGGGGACCAGAGGTGGAGCAAGATGTGTGTGGTGGGTGTGGGCCGCCTTGGGTGTTATCCCTGAGAGGGGTGACATTGCCACCCCACCCCCCGGGATGCTCACGGCGGGCGGCACACCCCCTGGGACGCTCACCACGCCCCCCTGGGACACTAGCCCCAACCCTGTGGGCAGCTAGCCCCGCCTTTGGTGGGGACTTTTTTAAAAATGCAAAGAACTGGTTGAGAAAGAGTAAAGCAGCTTCTCCCTCTTCACCCACTGGTCCTGCATTCAAGAGTCTACATTCCAACAACTTGGATGGTTTCAAAAGAGTTGGGATGTCTTGTTCATGCAATGTTTCATGCAACGTCACACACCTTCAATCGGCCTCACAAGCTGGCGCCTCTGTTGTTTCCTTATCCATAGCTGAGTACTGTGAACACAAAAAGGAGGGTTATGCGACTATGGGCCTGTGCCCAAGCCTGGCATTTCTTGTTCTCCTCTCGAATGGTCATATCTGCTTTCCTGAGCAATTAATGGTTTGGGACGGTTGGAAGTGACTTGCTGTACCAGCAGTTGGACTGGAGCGTTCTTCTGATACACCCTACAGGCAAAGGAATGTTAACACTTATTAACTGCTGGAACACAATGGTCCATGTGATTTGGGCTGGGCTTTGTTTAGGGAGCATCCCTGACATGCGCAGCGTACAGACTGCAGCCCCTTTGCAGCTGCAGCGCTGGGAAGCTGCCTTCTTCAAACTTGGGTCCCCAGATGTTGTTGGACTACAAAGCCCTTGATCCTTGACCACTGGCTGAACTGGCTGGGGATCATGGGGACTGTAGTACAGCAACATCGGGGGACTCAGGGTTGGAGCACAGGGTGTGTGGGACATTGGGACGTAATCTTACATGATGGTTTTAGGATGAAACAACGAATATGCAAGCTACGTGCTATATTTTCCAAGACTTTCCCTCTCACACTTGAACAAGATTCAGGCAAAATATTAAATCCTGTCTCCACAGACAGGAATTGGATCTTCCACTGGGATTTGAGAATTACCAGTCTCCCCTGACTTCAGCATACTTGAAGACTAAGGACCTTCAGGATAGCCATGATTCACATGCAGCTGTGAGGTTTCCTGTTGGCTGTCCTTGAATTCCGCAGCTGAGTTTAGGAATGAGCAAATCAGTCCATTTTGGTTTCTCTACGTTTCTAATTTTTCTAACCAAGTTCAGTTCTCCAAATTTCCATGTCACTTTGCGATTTTGTTTATAGTGTTCTTGAAAAAATGTCTGCATTTCAGTGCAAATTTCTCCTAATAGACATGGCTTTGAATGCAATTTTACTTAATTCATACATTTTTGCAAGCCATTTCCCCTAATATAATGTGTCTTGTATGTTACTTTCAAAAATGTATGGAGTTTGTTCAATGCAGTTTTATTCAGAATAGACCCACTGAAATGAATGAACTTGACTAAGTTAGGTCCAATAATTTGAACAGGTCTGTTCTGAGTAAAACGTAATTTAATACTATTCATGCATTTTGTGCACACGGTATATACATTTTTGTAGACACTACTTGGCTGGAGAAGCACATTGCAGAATTTAGAGAAGTGCAAATGTGAGAGAATGACTGCCTTTTGGTTTACTTGCTGAATTAGGCATATTCACCTTCAAATGTGAACTGAATCATATCACTGCCCCGACAATCCCTAGCTAAGTTATTTTCTCTTAATTGAAAACAAGCCTCTTCAAATCCCAGTGTGAAATTCGTTGTAATACACAAGCGCTAGCTGTATATGTTGTAATGCAGCTATGATAATAGAGTGTGTCAGAAAGTTTAGCAAGCACAGACAATTCCCATTGGGGCCTGGCCATAGAACCGCTGGTTGAATTCACAAAGCCTATTCTGTGAGTTTTAATCCTCCCTTGTACCAAGTGGGGAATCCTCAAGGGAAGCAGCTAGATGCTTTGGAAGGCAAAGAAATAATGGTTCACTGTTCCATATCTTGACATTTGTGGGGGAACCTTTCTGTGAGGAACTGAAATCTCTGAGCGTATGAAGCAATCAGGTGTCTGGTTCTCACGGTCTGAGAACTCAATATAAATTATCACAAATCCCAATATTTGCTAGGATCAAAAGATTAGGCACCGACTTCCTGGCGACTTTGCTCCACAGACAGACACACAAACAGTAACTAAGGCTGTGAACTTACTTGTGCATCTATTAATGGTGAACCGTTGCTCCTTGTTTTTCACTAATTGTGGCATCCATGCTATAAAATGAGCCAACGTCTAAGTATTTCCATCCCCATAATAGCTTAATTCACTGGAGGTAGGCATGGAGATCTCCCAGAGTGATTCAACAGTCAATCCCTCTTCCCATGGAACTCTGGGAATTGTATCTGAGAGAGGAATAGGGGTCTCTCAGCACCCTTAACAAACTACAGCTCCCAGAATTCTTTGGGGGGAAGCAATGACTGCATAAAGTGGTATGATCCTGCTTTGAATGTATAGTGCAAATGGAGCCTTAGCCTAAGAATTCAACATGGGGCTAGATCTCGGTTCCTCATTTCCTTGGAAGAAGCTTCTTTTCCACAGGGCAAATTAATCCACAGTCTGAAGATATTCCGAACCATTTGTAAGACCAGTTCAGCCTGCCTACATCTGCTTTAAAAATCTACGTGTGTTAAGCATTGTCCCGTGAATAATGGTTTCATGTCCAGATAGGAAAAAAGAGAATGTCTAGATCGCAAAAGAACAGTTCGAGTGTTTTTCTTTCTCCCAGGACCCGGTGAATCACAAGCTAGTCATAGGCAGAACTATTATTCACGGGAACAGTTTCTTCGGTGCACAAATTCATTTAATGGGGCGAAGGGCGGGGGTATACACACCTGAATCAATCACATTTGTAATGACTTTTCCAACATGTAAAAAACGGTCCTGAGGTTCAGCCCATTGTTTAAGGGATTATTGAAAAATGCAATGACTGAACATGATTAAACAAAAGCTTGGATAAGTTCGTGAAAGCAGTTGGGGTTTCCGCGGTGGAATTCCAAACGGGAGGTGGTGTCTGAGCCGGGGATTGCAACCTAAGCCTAGAAGGATATTTGAACGCGTTGCCCAGACACAGCCGAGGAGCACTCAGGATCAAGAGGGATGGGTGTATTGCCGATGAGGAATGCAGAAGGAAAGACCAAGCTTTTCTCTTGAACAATGCTCCTTTGTTTTGAGTTGGCTGTGTTGCCAGGGACACGTATACACACACACACACACAGAGAGAGAGTATCAAGCTCAAAGAGGTTCTTCACTTATTAAAAGTTTCTGATTTTCTTTCCAACAGGCAGTTATCAACTTGATCCAGCTCCTCATTGAGCCGAGTATTTATCTGAACATTCCTTTCAGGGAGATTAAAATAAATGGAAGCAGCACACCTAGCAGAGGTCTTGCCACTTGTGTCTGTTCCAGAAGGATGTGTTT